ATACGGCGCTCCGATGGTCGCTGGTATCGGTTCAACCTATTTGAGCGCTAGATCTGGCGCGCATCAGAGAAACGGCGTTCTGTTTCCTACCAATAAGGACCAACCGACGCCGACTGGTGTTCCTAGGTGCTAATGGTGCTCCTTACCCCGAGTTCTGGATTGCGCCTGTTAGTGTTGGCGATGTCCTCGACATTTGGGTGCGTCCTCGCCGACTTTTTTTTTCTTGTTATTATTATTATTTTTCTTGAGGTATTTGTGTGCTGAGAAAATCTAGGGAAATTTTCTTCTGTAATATTGATTTCATGTTTAGTGAATTGAATGAGATCTGTTTTCTATGTTTGTTTCTTAGTTCTACTCTTTAGCTTAGATTTCTTAGGAAAACAAGAGTATTTGGTGAATTTAGTTGTTTTGGTTATGGAGGTGATATTCTGCTTTTTCTGCTGTTAAACTGCTTAGAGTTAAGGATGCGGCTTTCCTTCACTTGTTTGCATTTCCTATATGGACTCACTGTTTTCATGCATCTGCCTGTTAGGGTTGACATGTCCTCGACGTTTGGGTGTTTGCTTGCTGACTTTCTTTTTGTTGATTAATTTTTTGGCGTCTCTGATTGTTATACTGTTCTTATCGAGGTGTTTGTGTTCTAGGAGAATCTAGGGGAATAGATTGCCTGTTTAGGTGAATAGATTGCCTGTTCTTTTCTTCTGTAACATTGATTTCATGTTTGGTGAATTGACTGAGATCTGCTTGCTATGTTAGCTACTTTGTTCTACACTTTAGTGTAGAATCTGTAGATTTTTTAGGAAAACAAGATTATTTAGTCGATTTAGCTGTTTTAGTTTTCTAAGGAAAAACAAGAATAAGTATTTGGTAACTTTGGCCATTTGATAAGGTGATTTTTCTACTTTTCTGCTATTAAAACTCTGAGAGTAGTAAGGATGCAGTTTTCCTTCACTTGTTTGCACTTTATGGTACATACTTTTTTGATGCATTTTATTTACTCCTAGGAAGTTGTTTGTTTTGTTTGTGTTTATGCTTCAATCATTTGGTAATCAAGAACAATGTGGAAAAGGGAATGGGACTTAATTTCTTGATTGCATTTGTATTGTTGTTGAAAGTCCCTTGGAAATTGGTAGATATATTTGCAGATTTGTTCCTCCACTTTAGGTGTATGCTAGAATTTATAAGGTTATAAATGTTTTATGTGAAGTTCTTCATATTTGAGAAATTTGATTGCTTGACACGAAGATTTATGCTTACGATAAATTGGCTGATTAATAGCTAATCTTGTACATTCTAGTTACTAGAAAGGCTGCAGTTACTGCAACAAGAAATTGAAAACCTGAATCTTCTTCTAATTAGCATTTTCATTCATTCTATAATATTTTTTTTAATGGAAATTGATAGGAGTAGTTTTCGCTGGTTTTTGAAGAACATTGTTTAAATGTAGGTAAACGAGTGAGAGGGACCAATGGGATGGGACAAGTACATGCTTGTTTTTTTATCTGATGCAGAAGTGCAGCCAGGCATTCTTAGGAGGTGAAGTTTTATACCATTTTTTGGTTTTATTGCATTTTCTAGACTGTTGTTGGAATT